CCCCACCAGCCACAGCACCCTCTCATCTACAGCACCCCACCAATCACAGCATCTCCTGAGCCACAGCACCCCTGGATCCACAGCATCCCACCAGACACAGCACCCCCATGATCTACAGTGCCCCACCAGCCACAGCATCCCCTCATCTATAGCACCCCAACGACCACAGCATCTCCTGAGCCACAGCACCCCCTGACCTACAGCATCCCACCAGCCACAGCACCCTGTGAGCCACAGCACCCCACCAGCCACAGCACCCCCCTGATCTACAGCATCCCATGGTCCACAGCACTCCTTGACCTACAGCATCCCACCAGACACAACACCCTGTGATCTACAGCACCCTCTGAGCTCCAGCACCCCCTGATCTGCAGCACCCCACCAGCCCCAGCACCCCGTGAGCTGCAGCCCCCTATAAACTGCAGCCTCCCGAGCAAACACCTCCGGATCTCCTCTCCATTATTGCTCCAGCTCCAATCTCCAGCTGCAAAGAGAAATCAGAGGGTGCTGTGGTCCCCTCCGGACCCCCGGGTGCATCCATCACCCTCCCGGTGGCCGACGGTGGGGTGAAGGGAACAGCCAGAGCCTGGCAGAGGTGTCCCCTGTCCCCAGGGGCACGGTGACACCAGCAGGTCCCCACCACCTCCCCCTGCCCTGCTGAGCTGCCCTGTCCACCAGGGTCTCCTTCTTCCTGCAGAAACCCTCCCGAACCCAAAGGCAAACTGTCCCCAAGGTCATTTTGCTTCTTCTGGCTGAGGAACCACCCTGCCTTCGGCACAACCTGTTGGTTAAGGACACGGATGTTGGAAGGAGCACGGAAATACCAGCTCTGCCTCCCCCCTGGTCGCTATTTCAGCCTTTTCCACATTTCACCTCCCGGAAAATCTTCAGGTTTCCCTCCTTTTGCTTTCCCCTGGGTGTGAAACAGTTGGAAGCCGTCTTCTAGGTGGTCTCTGTGCACCTCTGCCCTGTGGGCGAGTGTGTCCCCCCCCTGCCTCTCCCCCCACATCTCACCTGCCCCACTGGAAAACCAGACAGGAATATTCCTGGGGGAGAAAAGAAGGACTGGGAGCCCAGGGGGGCCACTGTCCCCTCCTGGCAGGGGGGAAGGTCCCCCGGGAAGCTGCCAGCCAGAGTTAATGGGGCAATGGCTTCAAGCTGGAGGGGAACAGATTTAGACTGGAGATGAGGAGAGGGTTCTTCACTGTGAGGGTGGTGGAGCACTGGAACAGGTTGCCCAGGGAGGTGGTTGAGGCCCCTTCCCTGGAGATATTCAAGGAGAGGCTCAATGAGGCCCTGGGCAACCTGGTCTAGTTGGGGGTGTCCCTGCTGACTGCGGGGAGGTCGGACTAGATGGCCTTTGGAGGTCCCTTCCGGCCTGGGCAATTCTATGATTTTATGATAATTTAGTGTGACCAGGGAGCATCCTCCCTCCCATGCCCTGCGTCACAGCGGCGGAGGCTGTGACATTCCCTAATTCCCTTCTGACCCCCCTGCCCGTCCCCAGAGCCCCCCCGGGGCAGGACTGATGTGTCCCCTGCCCCGATCTGAGGATGAGGAGGAGCTGGGAGGCAGCAGAGATGCTGCTGCAGCCACGCCATCGGGGCAGAGCGGGGTCCCTGGGGCCAGGCTGCAGAAGGAAGCCCCTGGGGACCGGAGGGACACGGGTGTCCTGCGGGGGTGACACATGTCACTGCTCACTGGCGTGAGGTGCCAGCACATGTGCCAGGAGCAATTGTTCCCTGTTTCGGGTGTCAGCAGCTGACGAAAGAGTCCCAGGGTCACAGAGGGAAGCCAAGCCCCTCCCCGTTTCCAAGCAGGGAAGGTCCATCCCTGCCACCACCCAGGCTTTTGGGGTCTTTGTCCCCAAGATGTGCCACCCCTCGCACAGCAGGGGTGGAGGGGGGGTCAGGGTACCCCTGGGATGCCAGGCACAGCAGGGACAGTCCCCATCCCACCACGTGGCACAGTCCAACCTCCATGGAGGGGTCCGGCCTCTCCCCACACCCGGCTGCTCTGGCAGGGGGGTCCCCACGCTGGGATGGGGGGTCACACCCCCCCGTGTCCCCTGGTGCCAGGAGAGGCCACCACCCCAATGCCAAAGCCTGTCACACCAACAGTGTCCCCAGAGCTGGGCCAGCCCAACAGCTCCTGTGGCCGGTTTCTACCCCCCTCCAATGCTCACCCCGTGCAAGGGGGTGTGAATGCACATGGGGGTGTGCACAAGTGTGTGTGTGTGTGTGCAAGTGGGCGAGGGGACAGGTATGTGTGTGTATGTGTGTACACGTCTGAGTGTGTACATGTGTGAGTACGTGTATGTGTGCATGTATGTGTGCATGTGCATATGAGTGTGTGCACAAGTGTGCCTGAGGGGTGCACACGAGTGTGTACGTGTGTGCACGAGTGTGAGCGGTGTGTGCCCTGCTACCCGTGAGGGTGTTGGTCCTGGTGTTGGTACCGATACGGGGTGCAGGTGCCAGTCCTGGTGTCAGTACCAGTATGGGGTGCGGGTGCCGGTACCGGGTGCAGGTGTTGGTCCCAGTGTCTGTCCTGGTGTCAGTCCCAGTCCCAGTACGGGGTCCGGGTGCCAGTACTGGGTGCGGGTTTCGGTCCCGGTGTCGGTACCGATATGGGATGTGGGTGTCTGTCCCAGTGTCAGTACTGGTGTCAGTACCAGTATGGGGTCCGGGTGCTGGTACTGGGTGCGGGTGTTGGTCCCAGTGTCAGCACCGGTACGGGGTGCGGGTGTGGGTCCCGGTGTGGGTCCCGGTCCCAGTACCGGTACGGGATGCGGGTGTGGGTCCTGGTGTCAGTACCGGTACGGGGTGCGGGTCCCAGTGTCAGTACCGGTACGGGGTGCGGGTCCCGGTGCGGGTCCGGGTGCTGGTACCGGGTGCGGGTGTCAGTCCCAGCATCAGTACCGGTACGGGGTGCGGGTGCGGGTCCCATTGTGGGTCCGGGTGCCGGTATCGGGTGCGGGTCCCGGTGCGGGTCCCGGTGCTCCCCCTGCCCTGCTGAGCTGCCCTGTCCATGGGGGTCTCCTTCTTCCTGCAGAAACCCCCCTGAACCCAAAAGCAAACTGTCCCCAAGGTCATTTTACTTCTTCTGGCTGAGGAACCACCCTGTCTTTGGCACAACCTGTTGGTTAAGGACACGGATGTTGGAAGGAGCACGGAAATACCAGCTCTGCCTCCCCCCTGGTCGCTATTTCAGCCTTTTCCACGTTTCACCTCCCGGAAAATCTTCAGGTTTCCCTCCTTTTGCTTTCCCCTGGGTGTGAAACAGTTGGAAGCCGTCTTCTAGGTGGTCTCTGTGCACCTCTGCCCTGTGGGCGAGTGTGTCCCCCCCCTGCCTCTCCCCCCACATCTCACCTGCCCCACTGGAAAACCAGACAGGAATATTCCTGGGGGAGAAAAGAAGGACTGGGAGCCCAGGGGGGCCACTGTCACCTCCTGGCAGGGGGGAAGGTCCCCCGGGAAGCTGCCAGCCAGAGTTAATGGGGCAATGGCTTCAAGCTGGAGGGGAACAGATTTAGACTGGAGATGAGGAGAGGGTTCTTCACTGTGAGGGTGGTGGAGCACTGGAACAGGTTGCCCAGGGAGGTGGTTGAGGCCCCTTCCCTGGAGATATTCAAGGAGAGGCTCAATGAGGCCCTGGGCAACCTGGTCTAGTTGGGGGTGTCCCTGCTGACTGCGGGGAGGTCGGACTAGATGGCCTTTGGAGGTCCCTTCCGGCCTGGGCAATTCTATGATTTTATGATAATTTAGTGTGACCAGGGAGCATCCTCCCTCCCATGCCCTGCGTCACAGCGGCGGAGGCTGTGACATTCCCTAATTCCCTTCTGACCCCCCTGCCCGTCCCCAGAGCCCCCCCGGGGCAGGACTGATGTGTCCCCTGCCCCGATCTGAGGATGAGGAGGAGCTGGGAGGCAGCAGAGATGCTGCTGCAGCCACGCCATCGGGGCAGAGCGGGGTCCCTGGGGCCAGGCTGCAGAAGGAAGCCCCTGGGGACCGGAGGGACACGGGTGTCCTGCGGGGGTGACACATGTCACTGCTCACTGGCGTGAGGTGCCAGCACATGTGCCAGGAGCAATTGTTCCCTGTTTCGGGTGTCAGCAGCTGACGAAAGAGTCCCAGGGTCACAGAGGGAAGCCAAGCCCCTCCCCGTTTCCAAGCAGGGAAGGTCCATCCCTGCCACCACCCAGGCTTTTGGGGTCTTTGTCCCCAAGATGTGCCACCCCTCGCACAGCAGGGGTGGAGGGGGGGTCAGGGTACCCCTGGGATGCCAGGCACAGCAGGGACAGTCCCCATCCCACCACGTGGCACAGTCCAACCTCCATGGAGGGGTCCGGCCTCTCCCCACACCCGGCTGCTCTGGCAGGGGGGTCCCCACGCTGGGATGGGGGGTCACACCCCCCCGTGTCCCCTGGTGCCAGGAGAGGCCACCACCCCAATGCCAAAGCCTGTCACACCAACAGTGTCCCCAGAGCTGGGCCAGCCCAACAGCTCCTGTGGCCGGTTTCTACCCCCCTCCAATGCTCACCCCGTGCAAGGGGGTGTGAATGCACATGGGGGTGTGCACAAGTGTGTGTGTGTGTGTGCAAGTGGGCGAGGGGACAGGTATGTGTGTGTATGTGTGTACACGTCTGAGTGTGTACATGTGTGAGTACGTGTATGTGTGCATGTATGTGTGCATGTGCATATGAGTGTGTGCACAAGTGTGCCTGAGGGGTGCACACGAGTGTGTACGTGTGTGCACGAGTGTGAGCGGTGTGTGCCCTGCTACCCGTGAGGGTGTTGGTCCTGGTGTTGGTACCGATACGGGGTGCAGGTGCCAGTCCTGGTGTCAGTACCAGTATGGGGTGCGGGTGCCGGTACCGGGTGCAGGTGTTGGTCCCAGTGTCTGTCCTGGTGTCAGTCCCAGTCCCAGTACGGGGTCCGGGTGCCAGTACTGGGTGCGGGTTTCGGTCCCGGTGTCGGTACCGATATGGGATGTGGGTGTCTGTCCCAGTGTCAGTACTGGTGTCAGTACCAGTATGGGGTCCGGGTGCTGGTACTGGGTGCGGGTGTTGGTCCCAGTGTCAGCACCGGTACGGGGTGCGGGTGTGGGTCCCGACCCCAATGCCAAAGCCTGTCACACCAACAGTGTCCCCAGAGCTGGGCCAGCCCAACAGCTCCTGTGGCCGGTTTCTACCCCCCTCCAATGCTCACCCCGTGCAAGGGGGTGTGAATGCACATGGGGGTGTGCACAAGTGTGTGTGTGTGTGTGCAAGTGGGCGAGGGGACAGGTATGTGTGTGTATGTGTGTACACGTCTGAGTGTGTACATGTGTGAGTACGTGTATGTGTGCATGTATGTGTGCATGTGCATATGAGTGTGTGCACAAGTGTGCCTGAGGGGTGCACACGAGTGTGTACGTGTGTGCACGAGTGTGAGCGGTGTGTGCCCTGCTACCCGTGAGGGTGTTGGTCCTGGTGTTGGTACCGATACGGGGTGCAGGTGCCAGTCCTGGTGTCAGTACCAGTATGGGTCCTGGTGTCAGTACTGGTACGGGGTGCGGGTCCCGGTGCGGGTCCGGGTGCCGGTATCGGGTGTGGGTGTCAGTCCCAGCGTCAGTGCCGGTACAGGGTGCGGGTGCGGGTCCCGGTGTCGGTACCGATATGGGATGTGGGTGTCTGTCCCAGTGTCAGTACTGGTGTCAGTACCAGTATGGGGTCCGGGTGCTGGTACTGGGTGCGGGTGTTGGTCCCAGTGTCAGCACCGGTACGGGGTGCGGGTGTGGGTCCCGGTGTGGGTCCCGGTCCCAGTACCGGTACGGGATGCGGGTGTGGGTCCTGGTGTCAGTACCGGTACGGGGTGCGGGTCCCAGTGTCAGTACCGGTACGGGGTGCGGGTCCCGGTGCGGGTCCGGGTGCTGGTACCGGGTGCGGGTGTCAGTCCCAGCATCAGTACCGGTACGGGGTGCGGGTGCGGGTCCCATTGTGGGTCCGGGTGCCGGTATCGGGTGCGGGTCCCGGTGCGGGTCCCGGTGTCAGTCCCGATACGGGGTCCCGGTGCGGGTCCCGGTGACAGTACCGGTGCGGATGCGGGTCCCGGTGTGGGTCCCGGTGTCAGTACCAGTATGGGGTGTGGGTGCGGGTCCGGGTGCGGGTCCGGGTGCCGGTACCGATACGGGGTCCCGGTGCGGGTCCTGGTGTCAGTACCGGTATGGGGTGCAGATGCGGGTCCCGGTGCAGGTCCCGGTGTCAGTACCGGTACTGGGTGTGGGTGTCGGTCCCAGTGTCAGTACCGGTGCGGGGTGCGGGTCCCG